CCTGTTACTCCCAATGGAGCATAGGCCGCTGACCAGCATTCTCCAACCCACTATGTCCTGGGCCTTCTTTTCTAGTTCTATCCAATTTTTGTTCATTCTTCTCATGTCTGTCCCTATTTCTCAGCGTAATGTGTTCCTTGGTCTTCCTGTTCTCCTTTGACCTGCAAAATTCCATGTGAGAGCTTGCCTTGTGACGCAGTTGGGTGATTTCCTCAAGGTATGCTCCATCCACTTCCAGAGCTTCTTCCCGATTTCTTCCTTCGCTTGAATCTGGTTTGTTGTCTCCCACAGCAAGTTGTTGCTGATAGTGTCTTGCCAACGGATCCGAAGTATCTTGAGTAGACAGCTGTTAATAAATACTTGTATCTTCTGGATGATGACTTTCGTAGTTCTTCAGGTTTCCACCCCACACAGTAGAACCGTCTTGACATTTGTATTGAAAATTTTGATCTTGGTGTTGGTTGACAATTGTTTTGAGCTCCAGATGTTCCTCAGTTGTAAATATGCTGCTAATATGTAGTAAGATTCTTCAGTAGTGCATACAAATTACATCGTTAAAGATCGTACGGAGAACTTGTACTGATTACTCGGTGACGAATTAACCAAATAAACTCCAGGATTAAATTATGGTTATTTTTTGTTAATAAAAAAATGACTGATGTGAATTATTTAATTATTCTTTCTTCATTAATCCATTAACTTATAAATCCTTTTTCATTTATTTACCTAATTCTTTCAATTCCTTGTCAATTCTATTAGGTTACATTGAATTTTATTGAAAATTTAAGGTTAACTAGATAAAGTTCATTAGTTCACAATCATTATTATTATTATTATTATTATTATTATTATTATTATGTGATTGATTGACACTTTATAATTAAATTCAATAGATAAATTAGATTGATAATTATTTAGTATATAATTTAAATGTTTTCCATTTAGAGATTGAGATCACTTTAATTAGTAAAGTTATTATCTTGTATCTGTCCATCTCATTTCATTGATATAGTATAATGATGATTCAAGACGATACTTCTTTATGTTAGATATTACATTGATGATGAATAATTATTTCTATAGTAAGCAAAGATAGATAGTGGCTAGCAATGGTATCCAGGACGTGTATTTCGTCCTATTTGGGAATCTTCAGCTGGATGTGCCTGCATTTCAGATTTGATGTTCACTCTAGAACTCGAACCCAGTAACTTTCGTTTCAAACGCCATCGCGTTATCCAGTTGTAGTCCTAAAACATCAATGGGAAGATTCAAACAAACAATAATAAGTGAATTATTTCTATAGTTTATTAATGATTCTTTAATGTTAACATATAGTTACTGAATTACTCATTCCTAGTACCTGATATATTTTCATTATAAAACGAGATCATACACTGGAATAATTGGTGTGAGAAACATTTCATCTAATTTATCAATGTATTTCAGTATTTGATGACAGAAATTATATTGGTTGAAGTTAGACATTAACACCGTTAGATGCCCTCCATCTCAGTGGTCTATAGGTTAAGTGCTTTGGCGCGAGACAGGTAGGTCCTGAATTTGAATCTCGCGAGGCAGGATCGTGAATGCGCACTGCTGAGGAGTCCCATAATAGGACGAAACGGTCGTCCAGTGTTTCCAGGTTTTCGATGGTGGTCTAGCTTCAATTAACTCATGATTTCAACTATGAAGAAATTATATTGTCATCTGACTTCTTTAGGTAAAGTTTCATGGATCAATAGTTCATATTCATTCATGTATCCGGTCCCTTTTCAACCTTTTTTATACACTAAATTACAATGGATATATTTTAATTAGATAGATTGTCTCGGTATTTATACAATCATTGTATGAAAATGTTATACAAAGCAGTAAAGGAAAAATAATAATAAGACTTGAGAAATTTTTAAATCAAATGAATGAGCACTTTGTCAAACATTGAGGACCAGCTATGTAGAAAACATAGTATATAAAATTACATTTGTTATTCAATTAATTTCAAGGTTTCTCCTGTCAATCGAACTTAATATTCCTCAGGGATATGATTAAACGCAATGTTGCCATATCTTGAAACAGTATGCTGAAGAAAAAAATAATTTTACTATGACTTATAAGTTTAGTACACATGTGAATATTTTGAATCTTATGAGTGAAACCTTAAAATTTTTAGTAAAATAATGATTTACTACTTAAAAGTTTTCATTTAAGCTTTTCATTTGACATTTAATGATACATAAATCCACCATATTTCAAACTAATCTAATTACTAAATGATTTAATTTCAATTCTATATGTATTAATGATCAATTGATAACGCCATTGTTTGCATTAGAAAAAAAAAGAGATCAAAGGTTGTTATTTATATGCATTTTTATAATCAATCGATAAATGTAAACTTTGATTATTAGGCAATTAGTTTTAATTCATTATTTGTCAAGGTACAAATATTAAATCAATTATTCGTATCTAATTAATTATTGATTTTATTTTCATGATAATAATCAATAATGTATGAGTAACTATTTAAAAATATAATGTAGAGTACTGAATTTTAAATGATTCATGTTATTCAGTAGTAGTTATCACTCTATAAATCATGATGAATTGTCGTGACCCTATGATACTAGATTTTGTAACACTTGATACTGATCAGTAAAGAGTGTCTACGAAATGATCTCAATTGATAGTATCAACTGAATTTGAATTTGAGTCACATTGTGTCTCAATACTATAAACATTACCTTAAAGTGCTTCAGGCGACTACCAACTACTTACAAGATCAAGTAATTTATATATTGTTTAATAATTGAGTGTTAGTCATTGTCTTTTCTAGACTATAATACTGATAGAATTATACTGATCAAATTAAAATGTAATTTGTAGTCTACATGATGATTAATTATTGTACATTCCGTTCAACATCATCATTGTAGTCTGTTGCATACAAATATCTCTCTGTCTATTTTAACAATAGTAATGTAACTTAGAAATCAGTTATGAATTCATGTAATCAGCTTCAAAATACATATATGATGTAATGAATTAATAATAGCCTCATGTTCCTTGAACTATAATAGAAAGAGTCTAGCGATTGAACCTACATTCGAGAGGTGAAATATTCAGTAACTATACATTTTAAATTATTATTCATCTGCCCATATCGTTATTAACATTTAACAATCTAATAACAATAATAATAATCTTTCCTTTCAGTTGCACATACATACACACACACACAAATATTAGATTCTATCGAAAATCAATAAATTGTATAGAATTAATTAAGATAATCAATTAAATTATTTATAAAATCAATTTATCAATTTATTTTGTTAATATTTAAATTTAATTTATGTGGCTCATTGGATATGATATTCTTTTCCAATCTTTTTTTCTTTTATCTCTTTGATACAAAATATTCGGGTACTTTTTTTTTCTTTCATGTAAGTAATTTTAATGAGTTTATGATTTTGTAATATGTATGTATATTTTCTGTTGAGAGATGAATGATCCAAGGGGAAGATCTAATAAATAAATGGAAGGAATCAGGTAAATGAACAAATATTCTCATTCTTATGTACAAGCACACACACACACACTCACACATACACACATACCCGAAAACATATATATAAATATACTCGTGTATATAACTATGGTGACTGAGTTAAACAGGATTTGATCAGAATGTAACAGAATATTAATATATAAAGATTAAACAACACGGGGAATAAAATAATCTATCCATGTATATATAATTGTGTTTACATTTGGTTTAAAATATGGGTCATTGTCTTTCTTATTGTCTTTCGTTTGTTCAATTACCAAAGTACAAATTATACTGTATCGATATGATGTATACATTTTCACAAATAAATTAAGAATTTAATTAATCTTAAAATAAACCCAAATATTAATAATATTTGTAACAATAATAGAAGAAAGAGAAAAAAAAATAGTGGAAACAGTTGAATAGAGAATAGAAAATAGATAAGAATAAACAAGATAGTGACTGATCCTTTTATGCATAAAATTAATCACCCCATTGCACAAGGAAATGGCTATCAGGATTTAGTAGCTGAGTAGATAACGTGATGGCGTTTGAAGCGAAAGGTACTGGGTTGAAGTTCCATAATGATTATCAACAAGTCTCAGATGCAGATACATCCATCTGACGAATCTCAAATAGGACGAAACGCGCATCCTGGATTTCACTGCTAGCCATCTTTGCTTAAACCTCAATGAATTATATATTTTATAATGATATAATTTAAAGGTGATTTGAATATTTTAACTGGTTGGTTATTAAGAGGAATCATATTTTGAAAAGTTGAGTATTGAATTTGAAATATAAAATACAAGGTATTTGAATTTCAACCACTGAGTTGTATATTTGAATAACTGTTGAATTTAAGTAATTTGATAGTATCACACTAATCCTTACATTGAGGGGTATCATTTATTGGTTCAATACACTAAGTTTTATTTGGTTACTGGATTACCATTATTTAAGTCACAAACTAAGAAGCACTGGACCTCTGTTCATCATAGTGAGGGATTATACAATGACAGTGCAGATGTACCTCGATACAAGGAATCGAACTCAAGACCTTCCATTCGTGAGCGAACGTTTAACTTCTAGACCGCAAGGTCAAAGGCCCTGAATTTGATTTTCTATGGTGGAGTCGTTGATATACACTAGTGAGGAGTCTCATATTTCGACGGAACAGTTATCTAGTGCTTCCAGGCTTTCAATGGTGATTTAGCTAGGATTATTTCATGAATTTATTGGTACCTCTTAATTAAGTGTGATTAGTGGAGACGGGTATAAACCATAGTCGTACTTCTATAAATAATTTCTAAAGCTGTTGAACAATCATGAAAGTAACTTTTAGAATGACGATCTCTTTTTTATGCATTTTCTTAAAAAAAGGAAAAAGTTTTCCGCTTCATTAATTTTTTCTTCCTGTCTTCTTTTTATAATTTTCTATTTTTCTTAGTTTACAACAAATGAACACGATGGATGTTGTCTACCAACTGCTTTACTAACACCTGTTATAACATCACCAAATTCATCAAATAAGAAATCAATAATCTTTGAAAATTATCCATCCCATGATGATAGTGAGAATTTTGAAGATGACGAAAATGAAGAAAAAGAAAACGAGGAAAAAAAGAATATATGTCTAGAATCTTCATGTTATTCATCTTTATACTGTGCATCTAGTCCTTCTCCACAACTTGAGATTAATCCTTCCACTTCAGTGAATATGACAAAAACAACAGCAACTACATCCACTACTACTTGTAAGCATGAATACGATAATAAACCTCATCGTGTAATACGTCGAAGTCGTAAACGTCATTCCAGTTGTGAATTATCACTGTTAACTGCAGAGCATAAACGTTGTCATTATGAAGATGATTCAATTGACAAATGGAATTATTCCTATCCATATGTCGATCCAAATTGTTCACCGTGTTATAAAAATCATATTATGAATAATCAACAGGTTATGGTATCTTCTTCGTCATTATCTCATTCTTCTTGTATTCCTATGCTAAACAGTAATACTACTACTACTCTTACTGCAACTAGTAATAGTAAGTCAGTAAAGTTATCTAATTTCTATCGTGACTGTCAACATCAACAGACACATAAATCTATTAATTCTGAAATTGATAATGACTCTGGTTTGTCATCCGGTACAACTACTACAGTTAATGACAACCAACAAGTCTATTCACCATTGTCTAATACACCGTTATCAATGAATTTTCCACCTTATCCAGCTTATATGAACCCAGTGTTTTTATCGGCTTTAATGGCTAGTGGTTGTTGGCCTTTTAATTCATTCCCTGGTAGTAGTAGTAGTAGTAGTAGTATTAATAGTAATGGTAATAATAATAATGGTGGTAATAATAATAATATCACCTCAAACCCATTTGATCCATGGCATGCATCTAATATTACTTTAGATTCACTACAACAAACAGCTTCTTTATTTGGCAATAATCAACGATTATTGTCAAATTCAAATAATTTCCCACCAGTTCTATCTCCACCGTGTGATGCATCATCAGTTCACTTAAGTAAAAGTCCAAGACATTTAATAGCAGATGAATCAGTGTCTAATTTGCAAGATTTTAATCAAATCAATTGTCAATTGAACAAATTATCAGGATTCTCATCATTAACTAATAGTTCATGTTTAAATAATAACACTAATCATAATAATATTTCAACAAGTCAAAAGAATCTTTTCAATTATCCACCATTTATTCAACCATCAAATTTTATAAATGGAACTGCAACAAATCCACTTCTATTACAATTAGCTAATTGTCCATCATTAACAGATAATAATCAAAATATATTGGCTACAGCTTTATCTGCTTGGTGTACACAACAAGCAGAAACTATTGGTTTATTTCCACATCATAATTTATCAGGAAAGAATTTATCAATTCCACCATTGTTTACTTCCAATACAGATAATACTACTAATATTACTACTGATAATCATGATAACAAAATTATTAGTATTGATAATGAACGTATTTCGAACAGTCATCGTAATAATAATGATGGGAATAATGGTAGTATCATAACAAATTTATTGAATAATGAGACAAATGAAAGTCAAGAGATAAATGATAACAAATTAAACATCACTTCATCGAATTCAACTATTCCATATAACTCGATTCAAACAGATCCAGGCATCTCATCGACTTCTTCATCATCATCATGCGTTTCTTCAATTTCATCAGATGAAAATCAATTGAATTCATCAGTGTTTATAAAAACTTCTCCAAAGTTAAATAATACAAGTGATACCCTTGGATTATGTTCACATCCTTCTCTCCCTCTTGCTGCTTCTATTCCACCATCAACAGCTTGTTGTTCTTCCACATCATCAACATCGGCTGCTGAATCATTAGCAATAACTAATTCTACAATAAATAGACCATCAAGTGTTCAATCAACATTTAATTCTATCTTAAGCACTAATTCTTTAAATTCAAGTCAATCTCAATCAATCACCAATTATCCAGCAACCGTATCAACTGGATCCACATCTTCGTTAGCAGCAATGATGACAGCAGCGGCGGTAGCTGCAGCAATGGCTGGTATATGCCGTCCTAATTCAGACGTATCCAGATGTATACCACCTCTGTCAACGTTTTCACAACCTTTATCTACTTCATCATCATTGTCATTAGCTGGGTCAATATCACCAACAGCAGCTGCAGCTGTGGCAGCGGCGGCAACAGCACCAACGTCTGTATTTCCAACAGGAATTAATCAAACTTCTCAAAATGTAGATTTGATGAATTTATCATCAAAAGAATTCCATGATGAATTACTCAATCATCATGATATGATGCTTATGAATGGCCAACAACATTTGTATAGGAATGCAATACAATCAAAATATTTAAGACAATCACAACATCTACATCAATATACACATAGTACTAATAGTAATGATAATAATAATAGTATAATAGATTATGCAAACGATGGATCAATCACAGAAATGGAAGATATTGATGATGAAGTAATTGAAGAGAATGAATTGCCAGGTGATAATGAAGATGATGAAGAATTGACTGAAGAAATGTTATTACATGAACGAATCATTCATGGTAATGATAATAATAACAATAAAGAATGTAATGGATTAATAGATGAACGTTCAGAAAATGATTTATCATGTGGAACCAATAATAATAATAATAAGTCGGTTGTTAAATGTTCAACTGGGTTCAATAATGAAATAAGCAGTACAAGAAGCTCAAAAAGTAAGTTATAATATTTTTTAATATATTTATTTATTGGCACAAAATCCTAGTTGTAATCAATTATTATTCATGATAACTTAGATGCCAATCCATTACTTAAAGTGAACCATGTTCGGCAAGACTAAGTAATGTTCTTTGTAAGAGGTTGCTTTTTTATTCTTTTGTTGATGTTATGGTATGCAACTAACTAATCTATACTAGTTTATATGGATCCTGATAAGATTGACTGAATATTACCATTTAGTAACAAGATTTTAAAATTTTTGCCTATCACACAAGCCAACGGCTATCTGAACTAAGTAGTTCAATGGAAAAGTAAAAAAGAACTCTAGTTTCAAGTTTCAGTCTGAATATCAACATCGGAAAATCATTATTGCATCAACGGAACAAAACGCATGTTGTAGATTCTGATGCTAAGCAATAACCGACTTTATTAACAAATAATAATCTTTTTGAGTTTAAGTTAAGAACCTAAAGCGAAAGAGGAAGCAAATGTTAGGTATACATAGTTCCATATCAGTAAGGCGATTTGTGGAGATTGTAGTATTTTTTAACAGTTAAATTCATGAGTCGATCTAAGCCAAACCACTATTGAAAACCTAGAAGCACTGGACGGCCGTCTCGTCCTAGTATAGGGGTTCTCAACAGTGCGCATCCGTGGTCCTGCGCATGGGACTCAAACCTAGAACCTTCGGTATCTCATGTGAACGCTCAACCTGTAGACCACTGAGCCGGTATCCAGCGGTGTTAATGTCTAACTTCAATCGATCCATGATCTTTATATAATTTGCAGATTGAATTTAATTTTTTCCAAAAGAATTATAAATTGAGCTTGACATTTTTGACATTTTCCATATACCATTATAAGTAAGGCGTATGTTTGAACACATTGAAAAATACTGTTTAATTATCAGTTTTCTTGCCTCTTCAATTACTCCAGAAAATCGTTTAGCGTAACCACAAAAAGCATATATATATATACATGGAAAAGTATCGAATTAAAAAAACTAATCTAATCAAATTTAAGGAAAGGTAAAGAGGTTAGTTACCAGAGTAGATAAAGACTGATATGTTAAACTTCTAACGCATGAATCAACTTTGACAAATATAAACATTTATGGCTTGTATACATTTGAGAAAGTTTCAATCTTAGTTATAAATAAATAATATATTTATAATATCCCAATGAGTAGAAAAATTAGATTTTCTGATATTTCGTGACTCAGTGTAAGCTACTTCTTCAGAGAATAAATAACCAAATTAACATAAATCCAAGTTTAAATAGTACAACAGAACAACACGAATATTAGATCTATGCATTTTAAGTTTGAGGGATTTGTAGAATATTTTCAAATTATTTGAGGATAAATCCTTTTTATTTTCTTTCTGTTTTAACAATGAAACATGTAAATGGACGGGGATACTAATGTCAGTAATATATACATATATTTTGCTAGAAACCTAAATAACACTGAACAATTGTTCTATTTTATTTCCTGTTTTTTTTTTATCTATATCCCCTTCACTGAATATTACTTATTAAGTACAAAGTTGAGATAATGTAGTTCATGTCAATAATTGTAGTAAAGTTCTACAGCATGAGAATAAATTTTAAACAGAAACTTGTTATTGAAAGATCATGTATGTACAGTTCTAAAAATGAACGGCTCAGAGCTTCCTTATACTGAACGTTCTATTACTTCTAGATGAATTGTGGCATTTAACTGAGAAAAAAAAACACGGAATCATTTCATTGTTACTGATACTATGAGCTGGAATAATTATGCCTTGATAACTAGTCATTAGGCTAGACAATGGTAGTTTCCTAAAATCATTTTTTCATAACAATCAAACCTATACAAATGATAATAATTTTTTTATTTAAAGTATAAATTGTGTATTTTTAGGTTGACAATTAGTGAAGATCATAATATACGGGATTTGTGATGATTGTATAATTTAATATTTTGCCTCACAGACTGATCTCATTAAAATATTCAGGAATAACCTGACAGTTGTTTCACTTCAGTATGGGACTCTTTAGAAATAACAAACACCCACAACACTACCACAGGGGATTGGAATCAGGATCTTCGGTGTCGCGAGAAAACATTTAGCCACTAGACCACCGGCTTCGGTAAATATAAACCATGAAAACTCAGTAATCTCTTCAAATTTTTTCGACTAATAATTCACCGCAAGTAAATAACGATGGTAGCACAATATTGATAATTGATCGAAGTTAGACATAATACACTATTAGATATTGACTAAATGGTTTAGGGTTTAATCATTTACAAAGAGATTAAAGGTCTTAGATTTAATTCCTAATGAGATTTTGAATGCATAGATCAAAGGAGTCCTACACTAGGACGAAACAATTATCAAGGACTTCTTGGTTTTCAATAGTTGTCCAGATAGAAATAATTTTTTGATGCAAACTATGGTAGTCAGCAATCTTCACAAATAATTTGTACAATGACAAAATTCATAAAATGCATAATCATGGACAAATATTTAACTTGATTACTCCTTTGATGGCTATCATCAATAATAGTGACAGTTAATAAACTCATATATTGATTATAAAGTATTTAGTAAATATTTATAGATAAATATATACTTGAACTAAGGTTATAATGATTATTTACAACTATTTACTTGTTTATTCCATCTTGTGCATAGAAACAAACAAACAAACACACACACACACGATTTCATAAGATAACAATGTAAACAATGTACATTATCTTTCTCTCCAACTGATTTAGGTACTTTACATTTTATCAAAAGTAACTATGTACAGTTCATCATCATTATTTGTGTATTTTTTTCTATTAACATATGTATAGTGTTGTTTCCTTTTTCTATTTATTTGAAAACTTCTTTTTCAAATAAGTAAACATAACTAAATGTAAACATGCAACTACATGGATTGTATGTACACGATCATATGACCATGAATAAAATACTCAGAAATGTTTATACATTATAGATTATAGTGATAGTGTGTTTTTCATTTATTTTGATGTTAATTTAGTTGACTAATACAATTCATTGGTTGGATGATTAAATTCCATAACCTCGAATAAAGTGATTGATATGTTATTCTGTTGAATTATTCATTTATTTATTATAATCCACCTATTATAATTGTCATAGTAACGGTATTTCTAATACCATTTGAATAGTATGTTATGATGTTTTATCTAAATAAGAAAATATTGGGTCATAGATATGATCCTTGACTATGCAAATATGAGATAAAGCAAAAACCTCGATTAAGGTCATCTTTATCAACCCTCCCTTCATTATTCGGTTGTAACACTTATCCTGTACCCTATTCAATCCATCATACCACACCCCATCACTTCCTTTCCTTTATCTATTTACTTTTGTGTATATACAAGCCTTTTTAATGGAGAAAATGCTCTTTAGTTTTTATTTTCAAACTGTAATCACTGCTCCTATTACCCTCTCTCTCTCTAATTTATTTTGTGTCCTTGTCTGATGTTAAAACACATGCAGCTATGACAACCAAAAACTCATTTTACTCTATGTAAATATACATATATATTAATGAGTATAAGATGGATAGGTTTAACTGCTTGAAATATGAGACTTGCCAGTTTGTATATATATATATATATATATATATATATATATATATATAATATTCATGCAAATTTTTACATACATATCATTGTACGTATATTTATATATTATTTGCGTGTTTTATGACCACATGACCAGATGCTTGTCAATAATGAGTTGATGGTTTACTCTTAGACTTGTGTCAATCAATCAGGAGTGGTCGATCAGTTTTTCTATCTATCCATCTACCCATCTATTCATTAATTCACTCATTCTTTTATTCATCCACCCACTAAACACTATCTATCTAGCAAGTCAATTATCGATCAGATAGGGCTTATAAAATTGGTCGCTATATATTTCTTCTCTCTATCCATCCGATACTCTAAAATGACGACGATAATGCAAATTATTTGATGGAAAAATTTGAAAGAGTGACATTGAAATTTATTATATCTTGTGTATTATATACACACTCATGTATATCATCAGTGTTATGGATTCATTAGTGTATAAATAAGTGCTTGTTGTGTGTTTGTCTTTTTCAAATGTCATTTTGCATGTTTGAATTCCTCTTTTCCTACCTGGAAAAAAAACATTTTGTAGAGAAAGAAATGTACAAAGGGGAGTATTCAGTTACTATTCTGTATCCAATTTTTCAAACCAATGAATTTTAATCTGATTTGAACATACCATGTAAAATAACAAAATGAAGGGGGGTGTAGTAACTAAAATAATAAATAAACAAAATAATTAAGGCAAAATGGAAATGACAAAGGGTGAATGTGATTATATGATTGAAAGAGAAAAGAAACAAAGAGGCATTAGACAAATTGTATAGTTCACACATTCCCAACGTACACATAACATATCTATCTATCTACATATATACTTATGAGAAGAAAAATTGTCACCTGTGTTATTTTGATAAAAGAATTAATTCTAACAAATATGTAGTTGAACGTTGAAAAAATTGTGATAGACCATGCTTTTGCTTTCCTTCTTCTCTTTCTTATTTTCAAGCTTAACCATAGAATTTTTTTTAGTTGTTGTAAGTTTTGAGTTTGATACCGATCAAATCTCAACAGGTATGTACATGTGTATTGATTAAAATCTAGTGAACAAATAGTGAATGACATTGAGCAGTTCTAAACAAATTCACAATTGTAATCAACATTTGTTTCATATTAGTATAAGATTCCTTAACAATGGAAACTTCATCAACGATTGAACTTAAGACCGTCTTGTTTCGTCAAGAGCTGGTTATCTTCAGACTATTTCATTAGAATTTAAATGGTTTAGTTTATTTAGTTTGACTATTCACATATATAAGTCAAATCAACATTGAATCATTGAACCAACCAATTATATATCACATTGGTCTGACAATTTTTATTAACTAATTA